ATTTGTTGAGCACCTCATCAACATTTATGTCGATATTAAAATATATGTATGTTTATAAGGGCCAAAGAGGTGGGTCTATTTTCCCCTGTGGTATTTCTCAAATACGTCTTTAATCTTCTCAAGGTACTGTAGCTCCTTTCCGCAGTTGCTGCTGTCACTGGTATTTAGTGTCTGTAAATTCACACAGTTGCCTTCTCCACAGTAAATATTCAGCACGTACTTGTTCAGTATTGATAAGAGCACCATTTTCAAGTAGGTTATTCTCATAAAATTTGTCCAATAGATCAAAACTATTTATGTTTCCTGAGCTAGATACCAAACAGGTAAATTAAATTAGACTTATTAATTAAATTAAAATTGTATTAAATTGAACTAATTGATTTAAAATCCTATTTTGAATTTCTGTAATCATGGCATCCAAAAATGGAAAATGGAAAAACAGAAACAAATTTAGGGGGGCCCCAGGGGGGGGGGGCGCAGCCCCATAGCCCCCCTGGATTCACCTCTGCTGTGAACAGCAACGTTGCTTCAATATGTTTGAAGATTTATATGCGTAGCTCCAAGCAACCATAGAGTGCACTTTATTCAAGTTTTCATGGAACTGAACCTTTTTATTCATGATGTATTACCGCACGCTTTTCCAAATATTTCTGAATACAAAACTTCCATTATCATTCCAGTATTTCCACTGTTGGGATTTTCTAATCTAATATTTAATGTATTGGAGAAAACATTCCCATCCCGTCTTCTCAAACCATCCTTCAATAGCTTAAAATATGTATCAAACTGATAGCGTTTCAATATTTCAATTTATTTCAATTTGGTGTTTTACAAGAAGTAATATTTCACAAAGCCAGAGAGTGTTTCCGATGCCAAATACACGTTACTACCTTCTTTCACTATTTTAATCACTCGATTCATGGGCAACTGTTCGAATTATAAAGTGAAACCATCTACCTGTCAAATATCAATACGAGTCGTTTATAATTACTCATTGCTAATTAAAAAAACTATTCCATGCATTTTCATTAAATATAAGTTGCTCAGCTTTTTTCCCATAAATTGTGATGCAAAGGTTATAGCCGAAAAGGTTGCACAATCCTGTAGTTAGGAACTTGCTCTTGGACTTGTTTCTTGTACTTGTAAATTTTGGCACCAATCACATTTTTTTCAGAACTAGGTAACTTAGTAGCTAAACATGATGAAACCATTTTAACAATTGAAAGTTCTCCACTACTCTGAATGTTAAATAAGTATGCCCCTTCTATTTGGTGCATTTGTATTTAACTGGCACAGACATGTTGCACAGAATCAATACACTCCTTGAAATAACTGAAATGCATTACAGTGATAATAATTTATCACTTCCTCCTCCAAAGCTTTATTCCTCTCACCTCTCGATAACCACGCTTTAAACTAACCACTATCTATACTTTTTATATCAAACAATGTCGTAATTTCTCTTGCAAGCTTAAGCAATATTATATTCGCATGTGAATTAAACTATCAAGTAGGTATATCGAATTTTAAAGGAAATATACTAAAACATAAAAAACATAAAACATCACAGAAATGAGACAACCCCCAAATCCAAATCCAAAGCCAAATGCAGTGCGGAAGGGGGCTAAATTTCAAAAAAACGCGGACAAACACCGATTTTCCATCGACATTGCCAGTGCCGACGCCAGGGATCGAACCCGGACCAGAATAGGAAGTACTATACTCGGCGGCCGAAATTATAAAGAGTGACTAATACATAATATAAAAACACTATTACCATAATGCGTATAAAATATAAAATGATTTCTATACGGTTCAATATTATTTATCTTTGTGCAGCTCGCCATGCACATCGGTAGAATCTATAATCGTGTATAGACTGAGTTACACTGAACGTCGATCTATATTCTATCTCTGTCTTTTGCACTTGGTAGGGAATAGGGAAATGCTTTTTTAGTGGGTGTAAACGGACTTGATTTGCCTGACCTGAGAAACGTCATAGCATAAGCGTAGACGAGGGGTCTAATTCCATGGCTATAATAAATTTATAAATTAAAAAAACACAACTGGGACGTTTTAAAATGCTGTAATAATTAAAATTGATCAAAGTGCCGGTTATAGCAAACCGTAAAAAATATTAGATGTTATGTTTTATTATGTTTTTCCAATATTTTCTATATCTTGTTGCCTTTTACGCAGACACGCCAATGGATTTTCGTTCCCGGCACGCTTCATCCCCCTTACTAGTCCAAGAGCTAGCGATGAATCACTATATATAATTTTGGCCGTCGAGTATAGTTAAAGGTTTACCCCACACGTACGATTTTGTTTTATGTTGATATATTGAATAATGTACGACTACAGCTAACAGGCGCAAAATGTTAAGTAGCTTAGGATCTAAACGATGAAAATTAATTGTTTTTTAGTTGTAGGTAATTGTGCTGGTTAATCTACCGTGATGGAATATTTTATAAATATACATATTGTAACGAATTGGAAATGCACGCAAAGTATCACGATTGAAAAATTACCTGACCGAACTTTAGATCAAAACTAAAAATTAATTATTTATATAGCAAACAATAAAATGGTATAAAATTGTTAATATAAAGACTGAATAAAATAAGTATCAATTAAAGAATATCACATAGTATAAAATTGATAATTTTGAATTTAATCCACAAGTATAAAATAATTTTTAAAAAGAATGCATGACATCGACACTTGTTAACACCCAGTACAGTGAGAAAACAGAATTTAAACCCAGTATGGCATATATCAAAAAAAGCCCAAGATATTTTAAATGAACTGAAGTCATATATGAAAATTTATCATCAAATGTCAAATTAAATTATACATTTTATCACATTTCAAAACTAAAGTTGGCTTTACCAGTACCAGAAGATGACCTAGAAAAAAGAACATAAAATAAGGAATATTTAATAATAAGTAATAGATTTATATGTTAAAAATAAAAGGACATTGTAACAAATGTATTAGGTATAAGAAGTGCAGTGAAAGTGTTGTGAAAAAGGGACGTCCAAAGACTGAAAATAAACACTAGAAATTTCCAGAAAAAAAAACAAATGTTTATTTACTAGTTACGGCTTGGTTTTTGGTAAAAAGCTAGAAAGGAGAAGTAGCTCCAACAAAAATTAAATAAAAATCAAGAAAAACAGTCAGGAAGTAAATTAAACTTACTAGTAACATCGAAAATCGTTTGTTTTCAAAATCCACATAAAGAAAATTGGCCAGTGAAGAAAAATTTTGTAACCAGTATAAGGCAGTATCCAGAGAGGTATTCCAGTGGCCCATAAATCATAAAAATAATAATTTCTTAACAATATATATTTTTCCAAAAATTAAAAAAAACGGTGACGTATAAAACCTTACCAAAGTTGTAAAAATTAAGATAATTGAATTTTGCAAATTGCTTTTGGTTTCTGCATATTTACACTATGTGTGTACCAAATTTCAAGTGTTAGCAAAGTTCGAACAAATTTGGCAGTTTCGAGTTTCAGATGCCGATGAATGTATAACACCTTATAGAACAAAAAGTTTTGCTCTCCTGATTTTCGGCTTTAGCGTCATTATTGTATATATATTGAACTCTGGTTTTCGAAAGTTTTATCACTTTTTGTTTATAATTGACATTTTTACAGTAACTTAAAAAATTTACATTTTATACTGTTTTTTCAATCTCACGACCTTGTTATTGCAAATTTCGGACCGCCGCCATTTTGTAGCTTTTTTTATTACGAACAAAATCATGTCCTAAGCATTTTTTCGTACAAAGTCATCCCGCTGAGTTATTTAAAGAAAACTACTAAAACAAAATTTTTTCACAATTAAATTGTTAATAACTTTTTTCCTGACAAAATACTTTATCAGCAAATTAGCCTGTTAATGTACTCATCATTTAAAGTATTCCTGTGTAGTTATTTCCGAGTTATCAAGGAAATGTCACCAACAGTAACTTTTCGGCCTCTGCCGACTGGACTACAAATGATCCAATGTCGGTTGAGAATGATGTAATTCTGTTTGAAGTTGAGTGACCTAAATTACTCGCTTATAGCTATCGAATTACGATTTACGCTGAATTATTAATTTTAAAGGAATTAAGATATCAGGTTACAGATGTGTTTTATACACACGTTTCAGTTTTGTCAATAATTTTAAATTTATCGCCAACCTCAATCATGCCGATATCTACTGTGCATGCGTTGCAATTTTAATATTATGTTTCATATTTGTTGATCTGTAGTTTTGAATTTTCCTCCAACCTCCACCCTACCGATATCTACTGCGCATATGTTGCAATTATTTTAGTATTTTATTCATCTTGAATTTACTACCAATCCGCTCAGTCAATCATTTCTGTTATGCATTGAGCTTATGTCCTTCTTTTCACTGTTTGCATTTCCCGCCAATTTGATTGCCTCGCTCTGATTGGTCAAATCGTGACGTAAGTGATCCATTCCGAGCTAAAAAACCAAGGCCATGTGAAGTGTCATCTTACCTACTCACTGTATTTCATAAAATTAACACAAATTATTTCCAAAACAAATGTCTTGTAAAGCGAGAAACCAGCGCGAAGCGCGAAATATATGTATCAAATTTTCCCGGAACGTAAGATCTGTCTTGTCCACAAATATTAAAGAAGAAGCAAGTAATAATAGAATCAATATCATACGATATCTGTAGCTATGGAAGCAGATAGATAAACAAAATTTAAACTGTCAAACGAATTTCAAAAAGATACCTTATTTGTAGTTTTGAAAACGAAAACAGATTGGCTGGGCAAACAAAGTTTCCTAAAACAACCCTCGAGCGTTCCTTTTGGCCCAATATTTTATAAAATTAATTTTGTTTTTCACAGATGGCAAAATACTTTAGTAAACAGTGAAGGAACTAAAACTATAGCACCAACAAATAACATTAGATAATAACATATTTCTGATGTGCTAAGATTTTGATTATTCGTTTAATGTAATACTTACTCCGAGAATCATGTGCCTTGTAACTTGATGATATTTTTCTAAGTATATTGTAGAAGTCAACTCCATAAGTGTATTGATAAACACTCATTTCAGTTTGACCCCATAAATCAGTGGCTGCTAGAAAATTTCCTTCATCAACAGCAGCTTTAGTTTGTTGTGCCAGTTGTGATATAGCTTCAAAACCATTTTGGTCTACAGCTCCCTACAATGTAATATAATAAAATTTACAAAAAGTACATACCTATTGAAAATATTTACAATATTTAATAGGTAGGGCGCCCAAGTAAGTACAGAATCGACAGGTGAAATCCATGAATCTCCAAGGCCTATTCCTTTCAACTTAGACTCGATGTTGCCCTTTTGAATTTCCTAGAAAAATTTTAGTATTATATTTGTATTTCTACCTATATAAGGTGCTCAAAGCCAAAGGTTTATATTTTTAGCTTGTTTCTAATTGATGCTACTACAACGGCATATGGGACACTGGTAAGATAGGTAACAAGTGAACTAACATTGTATGCAAATTATTTTTATCACTACCGGTTTAATCGGAAATGGGCATAATTTTCGAAATTAATGAAATACCTATATTCCTTATTTTACCACAAATATGTATCAGAATTTTAAGCAGGTGGAGAAAATTTTACGTTTTATGATTACTTAAAGGCTACTAATGCCCCAATTTTCGTAATCGACATTGATGCGGAGAGAGAAACAGATGAAGGAAAACCCTCAAATGTTGCCTATGTTGTTAAAAAAATGAATTGTCGTAAATATTTTTTTGACATGAATATTTGTGATTCGTAAAATTTCATTGAATTTTAAATCTCACCGTAAGTTATTGTCCATGTAACTATAGTTAGCAAATAGGATTATTGAAACTTAAATTATGTCACAACTAAAAGTATTACTGTACCCAGTGGTGCAAACAGCTGCCATAAGTAAACATGTTGGTGTGATAAGCGAACTTTCTATTTTTTTCTCCGACCATTTGCGTTACGAACAAAGGCGAAGTGTTTCAATGGCATACATCGTAAACACAAGTTTAAGTACACGTTATAAATTGTGTAGTGTACGGTTAATGATTTTTTTTGTGAGTGTGCAATTTTGAATATTATGAAAAACAATGCTTAATTAATGAACCGATGTGAAAACAGCAACCAAAGATAGCAGCTAATTCACCCGATCATGCCCGAACGCAGCCATATATAGATATTCAAAATTAACTGGAGCGCTACAGATCATAGTGGTTTGAAACATCAAATGAAACAATTTGTTCATACACTAAAATGCTGAAAATGGTAAGCAGCAAGAGTATCAACTAAAAATTGTCAATCAAAAAATATCATTGTAGATGAAATTGCCCATGTATGGAAATATTAAAATATGTATATGAAAAGAAAATGAAGTTTTGTTCTTTAACCACGTTAGTTACGGGAAAATAGATGAAACCGAACATACAATACAATATACAATTAAAAATGCCAGGGTGTGTAAATAATTACTCGCAAAACTGTAAAAAAGACGCAATCTAATCCTCAAGAAATATCGAGATACTGAGGATAAAACATTGTTGCTATTAAATTGGCTTTGGTTGGGAGAAAATAGTTGGTTAAAGATAGAGACTATATTTTTATCAATGAAATGATACTTATCTTAAAGAAATACACACCTGATAATTAATGTTCTAATACTCCTAAACGGGAGCAGATTGAAAGAAACGGAACTAACTGTATATTACAACGTAACTGTATATTACAACGGGTTTTGCTCAGATACTTACTCTTCAACAAGTGGAGTCCCACAGGGATCAAACTTGGGTCCCTTGCTGTTTTTGTTATTTGTAAATGACATAAGTGATACATTAAACTGTAATGTATAAATGTTTGCTGATGACTTAAAGCTATACTCATCTATTTTTTGTCTTGAAGATTGTTTAGCATTACAGGAACAGATCAACTTTTTAGAAAATTGGTGTGAGGAAAATAAGCTTTATTTAAATCCCACTAAGTGTAAGAATTTATCATTCAGCCGTAAATGCAGTAACATTGAGTATCCCTATCGTATTGCTGGCACACACTTTTCATAGTTACATCAACACGATTGTCAATTCAGCATTTCGTACTCTTGGATTTATTATCAGAAATTGCAGAAATTTTCAAGATATATTAGCTCTTAAATGTTCATATTTTAGTCTAGTCCGATCGAAGTTAGAGTATGCAAGCATCATATGGAATCCTATGTGTATTCACTATTCTTTAATTATTGAAATAATTCAAATCATTCATGAAATTTTTAAGTTTTAAAATATACGGAATATATCCCTCGAGAGGATGCAATTATCCAGAATTGTTGCTCACATTTAATTTTGTTTCCTTGGAGAAACGTAGGAATCTAGCCTTTGTTTTATTCTTGTCCAAACTTTTACACAGTAAAATTGACTGCCCTGAGTTATTGTCCTACGTAAATATTTTAGTTCCTAGAATTTTCTCAAGATATCATAACACTTTTTTGCAAAAGAGCTAAAACGAATTTATTATTAAAGGCGTCAATTAATGTGATGTGTAGCAATGCCAATAGGGTCTCTGATATGTGTGATATATTTTGTTGTAGTATTTCTCAATTGAAAGCTGTATGGCTTACGATTTTATAATGTAGTGCTTATACATGTACAGGGTGGGCAAATAAGCGAGGTAAGCGGCTGTATTTCAGAAACTAATGATCGTAGAGAGCTACGGTAAAAAATTTTATAGGTAAAGTGGGCAAGGGAAAATGCTGGAAATTATTTTCAAGTTTCCAAGATGGCCGCCAGTGGGCGTTTCCACCATCTTGAATTACATAAAGTTACGTTTCTCGCGATTTTCCCCAATGAATGTAACAAAAAAGTATTTGCGTTTTAATGTTAACTTAAAGTCGAATATTTTTTGTAAAAACAATTTTTCTCTATCTTTCGAAATAAAGTGGTNTTCTTATTCTTATTCTTATTCTTATTCTTATTCTTATTCTTATTCTTATTCTTATTCTTATTCTTATTCTTATTCTTATTCTTATTCTTATTCTTATTCTTATTCTTATTCTTATTCTTATTCTTATTCTTATTCTTATTCTTATTCTTATTCTTATTCTTATTCTTATTCTTATTCTTATTCTTATTCTTATTCTTATTCTTATTCTTATTCTTATTCTTATTCTTATTCTTATTCTTATTCTTATTCTTATTCTTATTCTTATTCTTATTCTTATTCTTATTCTTATTCTTATTCTTATTCTTATTCTTATTCTTATTCTTATTCTTATTCTTATTCTTATTCTTATTCTTATTCTTATTCTTATTCTTATTCTTATTCTTATTCTTATTCTTATTCTTATTCTTATTCTTATTCTTATTCTTATTCTTATTCTTATTCTTATTCTTATTCTTATTCTTATTCTTATTCTTATTCTTATTCTTATTCTTATTCTTATTCTTATTCTTATTCTTATTCTTATTCTTATTCTTATTCTTATTCTTATTCTTATTCTTATTCTTATTCTTATTCTTATTCTTATTCTTATTCTTATTCTTATTCTTATTCTTATTCTTATTCTTATTCTTATTCTTATTCTTATTCTTATTCTTATTCTTATTCTTATTCTTATTCTTATTCTTATTCTTATTCTTATTCTTATTCTTATTCTTATTCTTATTCTTATTCTTATTCTTATTCTTATTCTTATTCTTATTCTTATTCTTATTCTTATTCTTATTCTTATTCTTATTCTTATTCTTATTCTTATTCTTATTCTTATTCTTATTCTTATTCTTATTCTTATTCTTATTCTTATTCTTATTCTTATTCTTATTCTTATTCTTATTCTTATTCTTATTCTTATTCTTATTCTTATTCTTATTCTTATTCTTATTCTTATTCTTATTCTTATTCTTATTCTTATTCTTATTCTTATTCTTATTCTTATTCTTATTCTTATTCTTATTCTTATTCTTATTCTTATTCTTATTCTTATTCTTATTCTTATTCTTATTCTTATTCTTATTCTTATTCTTATTCTTATTCTTATTCTTATTCTTATTCTTATTCTTATTCTTATTCTTATTCTTATTCTTATTCTTATTCTTATTCTTATTCTTATTCTTATTCTTATTCTTATTCTTATTCTTATTCTTATTCTTATTCTTATTCTTATTCTTATTCTTATTCTTATTCTTATTCTTATTCTTATTCTTATTCTTATTCTTATTCTTATTCTTATTCTTATTCTTATTCTTATTCTTATTCTTATTCTTATTCTTATTCTTATTCTTATTCTTATTCTTATTCTTATTCTTATTCTTATTCTTATTCTTATTCTTATTCTTATTCTTATTCTTATTCTTATTCTTATTCTTATTCTTATTCTTATTCTTATTCTTATTCTTATTCTTATTCTTATTCTTATTCTTATTCTTATTCTTATTCTTATTCTTATTCTTATTCTTATTCTTATTCTTATTCTTATTCTTATTCTTATTCTTATTCTTATTCTTATTCTTATTCTTATTCTTATTCTTATTCTTATTCTTATTCTTATTCTTATTCTTATTCTTATTCTTATTCTTATTCTTATTCTTATTCTTATTCTTATTCTTATTCTTATTCTTATTCTTATTCTTATTCTTATTCTTATTCTTATTCTTATTCTTATTCTTATTCTTATTCTTATTCTTATTCTTATTCTTATTCTTATTCTTATTCTTATTCTTATTCTTATTCTTATTCTTATTCTTATTCTTATTCTTATTCTTATTCTTATTCTTATTCTTATTCTTATTCTTATTCTTATTCTTATTCTTATTCTTATTCTTATTCTTATTCTTATTCTTATTCTTATTCTTATTCTTATTCTTATTCTTATTCTTATTCTTATTCTTATTCTTATTCTTATTCTTATTCTTATTCTTATTCTTATTCTTATTCTTATTCTTATTCTTATTCTTATTCTTATTCTTATTCTTATTCTTATTCTTATTCTTATTCTTATTCTTATTCTTATTCTTATTCTTATTCTTATTCTTATTCTTATTCTTATTCTTATTCTTATTCTTATTCTTATTCTTATTCTTATTCTTATTCTTATTCTTATTCTTATTCTTATTCTTATTCTTATTCTTATTCTTATTCTTATTCTTATTCTTATTCTTATTCTTATTCTTATTCTTATTCTTATTCTTATTCTTATTCTTATTCTTATTCTTATTCTTATTCTTATTCTTATTCTTATTCTTATTCTTATTCTTATTCTTATTCTTATTCTTATTCTTATTCTTATTCTTATTCTTATTCTTATTCTTATTCTTATTCTTATTCTTATTCTTATTCTTATTCTTATTC